AGTCCTTAAGAAAAAGAATAGGAGCTTTTGAGCTGAAATGCTATAGAAAGATTCTCAGAATATCTTGGACAAAGAAGAGGAAAAATACTGACATCTTGAAAGATCTGAACATCAAGGAAGATTTGCTAATAAACAGCATCCTGTCTCGGAAGCTAAAATATTTTGGTCAAATCAAACGCCACGACGGATTGGAAAAAAAAATTATAGCAGAAGGCACGTATCAGGAAGGAGGGGCAGGTGCTGACCGACACGAAAATGGGCGCTAAATATAAGTGACTCCTTGAGTATGAAAGTACACGAGGCGGGAGAACTGGCGAGAGACCGAGTTTCTTTCAGGCAGACTGTGATGAGAGCGACGTTCTGCAAAGGACCTGCTACATAAGGATGATGTTAACCCTTACCCCTAATCTTATTTTGGAGAAAAAAATTCTGTAACACATAAATGAACATAATTTTAAACCGTAGCATTAAGTGAATAGTTTTGGGCACAATCAATTTGAAACATAATGCTTAATATATGTGCACATTTTCATTAAACCATCGTTATTAGTTTTTAAAATTTATTAGAAAATGTTGAGTACAAATTTATAGTTTTTTCCGCATAAAATATGACATTTTTCTATCAAAATCTGTTGAAATACGTCGATTTTAGGCCCCAAAGTGAATTTTCCCTCAATCTTCAACAATCTGTACCTACAGAAAGCATTGTTTCCAACAAATGTAATCAAATTCAAGTTGGCGGTTTAACTGGTCATTATTATTAAGATTATTATTACTAGCTGTACCCGGCCACGCGTTGCAATGGCATAGTTTGGCTAAATGGAAAAGAAAGAAAATAGAAATCGCACGTGTATAATATGGGTATAGTCGCAATCATTGTCTGCTCAGATATAGAGATAGTCTTTGAAACCCCACCCCCCCCCCCCCCCACCACCACTAAATCCACCTACTACTCTATCCCTCATTAAAAGGTTTTAGGAAAAGAAAGAAATAGAAATCTCACGTGTCTAATATAGTTAATGTCGCAATCATACTCTGCACAGATATAGAGATAGTCTGGTCTTCCAACTTTAGATTACGCACCATATAATTGTGTTTTTATATTAGTGGTCGTTTAAATGGTGTTATTGGCACAGTAACAAAAATGGTTATTTGGTTATCACATGCTAAAGCTGTTTGTATTTTTATAGGAGACGGAAGTAAAGGTACTACTGTACTTGTAAATAACATATTAAGTAGTAAAAAAAATTAGAATAGCAGAGGGAGCGTTAGTAAAATATAAACAAATTAACTAATGAGAACTTTAAAATCATATGTTAAGCTCTTTAAGTTAACAATTTTAGTCTTTACCCCCTCCCTCCCCCACCCCACCCCCATCCCATCCACTGACTACCGCTCTCTCCCTTTTCAAAGGATTTAAAAATCATCACCTGACGTTATTTTTTTTTTTTTTTTTTTTTGATTTTTTTTTTTTTTTTTTTTTTTTTTTTTGTAACTGACATTGACATCCCTGTCCATCCGGACTAAAATAGGGAGCAGGAATTGTAATAGGTAGTAAATGGGGCTAGTGTAATATTTACAACATCACCCTTCAAGTACCAGTACAACTACTACCACGACCACCACCCCAATAGCTAAAAAAAAAATGTCAGTGCTATCTGTTTTACTATCGGAGTGGACAGGGAGACGTGAGCCAGACGATTTGGCGCCACGTGGCTATTGCTGTCGCCATGGACTGGTCATGTTTGGATGTATAATTTTTTTCCTCGACAGAAGAACGCCATAACCTTACCGGTGGTCTTCTCATGAGAGCACTAAGGTGTAACCGCCCAACCACAACTACTACTGCTGCTGCTACTTTGAATGGGTAAGGCAGTTACTGTAACTTAAAACTTTCTCAGTAAAGATTGCGCCCCCTCCCCCTTCTCCCCAATTCACTGACTACTCTTTCCCTCATCGAAGTAGTTGGGAGAAAAAAAAAAAAAAAAAACAATGGAAAAGCAATGAAAACAGCAAAAATACACATAATTAGAAAATGAACGCTATGGTATACAGCACAGCTTAAAATTCCAACGCAGATGAAATAATTACATCTAAATGAAAATAAATGGAAAACTATGAAATTTCAGCGTAACCATGCAATCGAAAAATTTAAAATGAAATCATAAGTATGCGAAATGGTCAAATTTAATTATCAACTGGTTTGCCCACATACCGGTCCTTTTATTTTTTTTAGTATTAAGGGCCACATGGCTAGTGCTGTCGCCACAACAGTGCAGGTGAGGATTTTATTTTGCCCCGGGTTTTAAAAAACTGCTCCGGATTCGAATCCTGGTCTCCCGCATAGAAGCCCAGTGTTCTAACCCTTTGACCAAGCAACAACTCCATCGGAACAGCAAAAAGAGAACATAACTATTTGAGATGTGTGTTCCTACTACTGTGTCCCGATTATAACACAACTCAAAACCGCAGGCAATTGTTTTCTCATAGGCAAATATTCCAGACATTATTGAAACGGCATAATAAAAATGGCACGTGTCTAACACGGGAAATGACGCAGTTATTGTCTGCGCAAACGTCGAGATAGTCCTTGATGCCCCCCTCCACCCACCCCTCCCCCTTTCCTATCCATCGGCTACTCTCCAACTCATCAAGGGTTGTTTGAAAAGACAGAAAATAGAAATCGTGTCTAATGTGGTTATTGTTGCAATCATTGCCTGCAAAGATATAGAGATAGTCTTGTTTGCTGTACCACGGCAACTCTATTTATTAGAGAAGGCGTTGGCTGTACGTATATCGCCGGCGAATGGTGGAAGTCTTGAGTTCTGACTACGACGCATGCACATTTACTAACGTGGCTATAATTAAATGCCACTAAAAATGGAAACATTTGTTTACAAAGATTTTTCCAAAAATTGTGGTCACCTATCTCTAACAATGACAGGAAGAATTTCAAACCATGATGGGTATACATCCGGTATCAAAACAAACATATCCTGAAAATTTCAGCTAAATCGGTTCAGTAGTTTCCAAATCTATAGCTCATAAACAAACACACAAACATAGATTTTTATATATATAGATTATTATTATTATTATCATCATCATCATTATTATCGTTAAAACTATGTGTGCATTGTTTAGTGTATGCGTAGAGTGAGGCCAGAAGGCCAGAATGTAAGATGGATTTGTTTGCACAGTTCTAAACCCTTTAAAAAAAATTTTCTCTATCTATCTATCTATCTATCTATCTATCTATCTATCTATCTATCTATCTATCTATCTATCTATCTATCTATCTATCTATCTATCTATCTATCTATCTATCTATCTATCTATCTATCTATCTATCTATCTATCTATCTATCTATCTATCTATCTATCTATCTATCTATCTATCTATCTATCTATCTATCTATCTATCTATCTATCTATCTATCTATCTATCTATCTATCTATCTATCTATCTATCTATCTATCTATCTATCTATCTATCTATCTATCTATCTATCTATCCTATCTATCTATCCTATCTATCTATCTATCTATCTATCTATCTATCTATCTATCTATCTATCTATCTATCTATCTATCTATCTATCTATCTATCTATCTATCTATCTATCTATCTATCTATCTATCTATCTATCTATCTATCTATCTATCTATCTATCTATCTATCTATCTATCTATCTATCTATCTATCTATCTATCTATCTATCTATCTATCTATCTATCTGTCTGTCCGTCCGTCCGTTCGCCCATCCACTCGCCCGGACGCCTGCCCGTTCGCCCGCCTGCCTGCCTGCCTGTCTGCGTGTTGTCTGTCTGTCAGTCTGTCTGTTTATCTAATTGGTTTAAAACAAGTCTTTGTAATGTGAGATAAAAACAGCTAACGTTTTTCTTCAACCGTTAGTCTTTAGAAATAAATCTCACGCGCCCATTTCTGGAGTATTGTTTTAGTTGTCTGCTGAATGTTTAATTTTTGTTTCATGAAGCTATATTGTTTTATGTTGTTTGATGTTTTGTATCACTGAATGTATTTATTTAGTTGGGTATTAAATACAGAATATACCATCCGGTTGAATATTTCATATAGGTGAATGTTGCAACTGGTTGGATGTTTTATGCAGTTGGATGTTTTATGTATTTGGGTGTTGCCTATAGATGGAAGTTCTATTTAGTTTGACGTTTCATGTAATTAAGTGTTTCATGAAGTTGAATGTTTCATGGTGTTGGATGTTTCATGTAGTTAGATGTTTCATAGTGTTAGATGTTTCGCGTACTTGGATGCTTTCATGTAGATAGACATTTCAAGTGATTGAATGTTTCAAAAAGCTGGATGTTTTATGTGATTCGATGTTTCATGCAGTTGGATGTTTCATGTAGTTGAATGTTTCAAAAAGTTGAATGTTTAATAGTGTTGGATGTCACGTACTTGGACGCTTTCATGTGGATAGATGTTTCATGTACTTGAATGCTTCCTGTGATTGACTGCTTCATGTAGCTGAATATTTCATTGTCTTGGATGTTTCATGTACTTGTATTCTTTCATGAATCTTTGAATCTTTCATGTAGCAGAATGTTTCATTGAGTTGGATGCTTCATGTATTTTGATGCTTCAAGTGACTGTATTTTTCATGTAGTTGGATATTTTATGTAGTTGGATGTGTCAAGTAGCTGAATGTTTTACATAGCTGAATGTTTCATGTATTTGGATGTTTCATGAAACTGGATATTGCATGTAGTTGGATGCTTCTTGTGACGGGATGTTTTATGTAACCGGATGTTTCATGTAGTGGAATGTTTCATATATTTGGATGTTTTATATAGTTTAATTCTGTTTGTGTTGTTGTATCCCCTGCTTTGATTTTTAGATAGAGGTCGTTGTTGTCCTATACTTTTTGAGGATTCCTCACATCAAAATTCACCTTTGTTGTCGGTGTCAAAGATTCCTAAAATACATAGCACAATAACAAATTATTAAAAAAAAAAAAAACCTTCTGTCGTTGATCTGAAGTTAGCCCGATATCCCACAGAACCAGCGAGAAGTTTTCAGTCTTCGACAGTTCTGGGAAGACCATGCTGTGGAGGGAGTGTAACATGGCCTGCATCTCATCGTAATGGTTGCTCGAGGCAGCAGATAAAATAATGACGTCGTTTTCGGGAATTTCTGCAGCGACGGATCCGAGCAGGTCATCTTGCTCTTTGGTCAAGATCGTCTTCTCAGAGTACAAACTTTGGATTCTCTCAGTCAAGTTGTTGCTCAGCTGTGTGCAGTTTTGTTGAACACATGCATCTTCTGTAAAGATGAAAAGTAAAGTGAGGCATTAAATTAGTGTTCTTTAAACTGTGGGCGGCAGAAAAGTTCCCCTAGGCTCCCAGAAATCCTGCCAAATCTGGTAATCAGGTATTTAGTTTGGTTATTTTTCCTTCTGGTAATGATACCTTTGTTGAACTGTTCTACATTTAACTTCTTTAATAGATCATCTATGTGCTGTTAGCGTAGACAGGTATTTAAAAGTATCAACTTTATTGAGGATTGTCCCATAGTCTTTGATGCTGCATTTTTAAAGGCTCATTTTTCTGTGTATTTACAATTACTTCTGGGTTTTTTCTTCTACTTTTCAAAATATTTCCCTTGTTTTGTGTGTGTGTTTTTTCTTCTTTCTATTACGATGATGTCAGTAGTAGTAGTAATTTAAACAACAATATCATGCCCAGCCTATCCGTGCTATAACTGTCCTAGATAGATATTATTACTTGCAGTTGTGTGTCATTTTCAGCGAATAAATCTACATCGTCAGCCTTTCGCGGGTTGTTCTCAGTTTGCCCACCAACCAATTTTTATGTCATACCATGTAGGGATCAAATGGATCTGTGGATTGTTGTGATTACTGTGTTGCGGCTATGTCGTGGGTTCCAGATCAAATAGAGCCACACATTATTTTCAAACAATTATCTTGGCTTTCATGTTGACCCAGCCTCAAACAGCTACCAGGTCAAGTCCTTGGAAGTCAATAACCCACCAGGTGCCTTTTAGTCTATACACTATAGGTCTAGCATAATATGCTCAACAGCCGAAAGGCGTGAACAAGTGTTTGTGGGATGAAGCTACTTTGCTGTTCAATTGTACCGGAGGTCATAGGCGTGATCGTCTACACTAGTGGTAAAGCAACTGGATGATGACAGAGACGCGTGCAAAAGGTCCACGAGTGAGATAAAAGTTTCTTGAGATTAACGGGTAACAGCGGTCTCCACAGATAGTGTGACACCAGGTGTGACCAGCCGCTGAACGTGAACCCGTGTCCACATCGGTTGCTTTTAGTTCGTCTTACTGTGTGGACGTGTTGTTTGAGTCCACTGGTTAAATGGACTAAGTTTTAACAAGTTGTTTTATTCTGAGGAATTCCTGTGAACCGTCTGGGATGATTGTGGTGTATCGTGAGCGGGATTTTTGGTAATTCTGTCAGTAATTGGCCAGAATGGATTTGTGTCGGCCCAGTATAGTAGTGGTCGGAAGCGTTGCTGCTATGGGAAACATGGTTGACGGGGTGTCTGTAGGGGCAAAGATGGTACCGGTGGACATAGTGTGTTAACCATCGGGGAGTTGTGATAAGGTAGATATTGGAGGCTTACTGAGGGTAGGTTAGTCAATGATGCTTTAGTGAGTGACTGTAATAGCAGACGGGAGGTCTGAAGTTTTACCAAGAGGTGCATCTATTTTGAATCCCAATGATAGCGGGGTCGTTTAGAGAACGAACCGCCAGGGAATTGTCACTGCACATCACATAGGTGTATCTGTACAGTCGGTTGTGGAGTTATCCGTAGCAATCATCTGGGACATAGTTCGCAGGGGTGTTTGTCCATGTCTGTAGTGACTGCTAATGTGAGTATTGGGAAGGCAGCAGAAGACTTGACAGTGTGCCATCGATCACCATTATCATCTTCCTCGTAATGTTCACTTCATAATAAAGACTTGGGCACTGTGAAAGATCATACTTAGCGGGGGTATTGTGTTACAGTACGCGTAGACGTTGTCAGTGGTTACTTAAGGACATGTTAGCTTGTTGCGTGTGCCTTACAGTGGCGCTCTTGTTTCACGCCACTTATAATACAATTCAGCATGAGCCGAGCCAAGGAAAGTGGGCGGTATGATTGGTGCATAGAGGGAATCCAGTGTGTGGGTATAAGGACAGACATTGGTAGACATTTATATAATTAAATCCCCTAGACACGTGGCAAGCGTTCGGGAGAAACCCTATCGCATACATTGAAGAGGTTCCCTTACTTTAACTGTTATAATTAATTGTTACGTACTAGATCGTCAATGAATATAATGAATATACTTGAAATATTAACTACGTTGTTATATATAATCACTAGATTCAATCGCCCGGCTTTGCACAAGACAACCTGTAGCAGTTTTAGTGTCAGGCTTTCTGTTGAGACTGTCTTAAAGTTACGACACAAATCGAAGAAGAAAGCAAAAACGTCTGTAAATATTTTCAGTTGCTTTAGTTTTGAATCAGTCACACGCAGTATTTCTTTCCGCATCATTAATTTTTTATCTACGAACACGCATTCAGTATCTTTATATTTGAGTATCTTCAGTTAAGACAGTATAGAAAGTGCTCTATGTGGCTAAGATGCAATTAGACAAGTAGAAGCTCAAATATAAGCGTTAGAAATCTCTTTTGAATTGCAAATTGGCAATTTAAAAAAATGTTTCAGAAATATAATTGCACTCATCATGTGCCCTGCCAACTGGCGAAGGCGCTCATGCGTCTCAACAGATCACGATCCCTGGTTGACTGGAACAGCTCCCTTGATGATATCCCTCCATGTCATCGTTTTAGCCCATTCAGCATCATTGCACTACATTGAAGAAAATGGAGAAGAAGGAGGAGGGAAGGAGAATGGAGAAGAAATAAACTGCATTCAAAAATAAATATATATACAATACAATATATATATATATATATATATATATATATATATATATATATATATATATATATATATATATATATATATATATATATATATATATATATATATCGTCGGGAAAGGGAATTGTTTGAACTAGATGTGGTTGGTTCTGTACTCCATTGCCAGATGATGATAGAACATCAGAAAATACAATAAAAGTACAGTATCATGGACAGCTTACTTGATTTCGAATTAGGCGCACACCGTGTTGTCCATGAATATGGTTTCACTGTGAAGTTTGACTCTAACTGAGCCTTCATCAAAGCGGTGACCTCATGTATCACTGAATTGACGTACATTTCGCGGTCGACGATATTGCTTACTGTACTGCTGGAAAGATTTCCAACTGTGGTTAATTGCATTGTGTCCCCGTTGCCGCCTGTAATGTAAAATAAAAGGCGATGAACGACACAGTATATTTAAATACTAACTATATGCTGTTCATGTGAAGGACCCTTTATAGCACATTGAGGCGTACTAGGGATATAGGGCTAGAAATCTATTGTATAGACCAACAGGGTGGGTCATGTGGTCGACGTCACGCCCGCCGCCTCAATTCCCACAATTTTAAATGGTACCCATTTAAGGTTGCTTCGTAATGCCGGAATGCCGGGTCGATCCCAGCTGCAGGCCACGCCCTTTGCGTTGGTTTCGACAGTTGTATCAAGAAAGCCGACCGTCCAGTAAGTACTGTCACACCACTGGACGTAAATTTGCCTAGAAAAACCACACAACAGCCAGGGGCTGTTGGGGTTGGTTCTGCAACGTCCTGTAAAGGATTAACCATTTAAGGTTGGGTCGGCCAGGGAGTCGAGGTAATTTCTAACAAAGTCTGGCTGCGCCAGAGCCTGAACTTTCGACCTTCCGATCCGTAAGTCTAGGCGCTTTACCACATCGGCTCCATTCGGCATATAGTGCTAGGTCTATTTTGTACCGACTAATCGGCACTGGCTGGGTAATGTGGTCAATATGGGAGCCCATGTTGTTGTTGTTGTTGTTGCTGTTGTTGTTGTTGTTGTTGTTGTTGTTGTTGTTGTTGTTGTTATTGTTGAGAAAAATATAAAATCATTGGACAAATGCCATCGATTTAGCAGAGCAAATGTGACAATTTACACCAAAAGAGCACTTTTCAATGCGTCATTGTTACCAACATTGTGTTATCGGTGCCAAATGTTGACACTAACAAAAACAACATACAAAAGAAAAATTAAAACACCATTTATGAAATATTGAAAAATCAACACCAAAAGACAACATAATAGATTGTTTGGACAGCTAGCAGACTGTGGAGGAAGGAGAACTCTCTCACTGAAATATATAGAAGTAGGCCTAGAGACTGATCACAAACCGGGGGAGCGGGAGGCGGGATGGGGGAGGGGGGGGGGGGGGGTCCTTCCGCTAAAAAAAAAAGACTACAAACTGTCAAAGAAGAAGCTATATATGTTATTCTTCATCTTCTTTTTCTATGTGTCCTTCTTTTTCTCCTCTTCCTTCTTTCTTATCATCATAATAATTATTATCAACATCATCATCTTCTTCTTCTTTTCTATACCCTGTTTTGCTTTTCAGAGTCAGAATTCAAAGAGTCATCTATTTCTAGCCTGGTGTGTGCTACACAGATGCTGAAAATGTATGAATCTACTTGGAATAAGCAGTACACTCCACATCTGAAACAAGCTGTCTTATACTTCACAATTCATCATCACATATGTCAGTGTTAAAAACCCTGAAATATGTCAGAGTTAGAATAAACGGTAACTCACACGGTGAAGAGTATATGTTCCAAGAATGTGTGTATCCATTTATTATCAGATATCCAACAAACTGCAGCAACAAAACACCAACTGCTACTTTGAACAGACCTGCAAAAATTTAAATCAAAACAATCAAATATGTCGTATTTATTATGTCGTGTAAAACTGTGTGAGGAGCTGCTGGCTCAACTGTTACTACGGTATACTCCTACACGGGGCACCATGGTTTGAATCCTACTTCAATGATGGACCTAAATTGATCTTGACTTTTCACCCTAACAATGTGGTTGCTTCCAAAGTATTCTTTCGTCATTTGGACATTCTCCGCTCTGATCCGGACACCAAGATTATCTTTAGTGAGAAACTTAGATTAGTTTACAGACGAGATCGCAACCTTAAAGACATACTTGTCCGAAGCCGACTCCCACCGATCCACACAGCACTTCCTCTTGGAACTACTCAGTGCTCACACAGCACCTGCAAAACATGTCCTTTCGTTGTCCAGACTTCTTCGGTCAGTTTCCCTAATGGTTCTTTTCAAATTAGGGAACCTTTTACTTCCGAATCCCGCAACATAATTTATGCAATTATCTGCAAACGATGCAGCAAGGCATACATTGGGGAGACTGGCAGAAAGCTAGCTGATCGTTTCCGGGAACACCTCTCTGATATCGACAAGAAGACACTCAAACCAATCCCTCTTCATTTTAATAGCCCTGACCATAGTGGTAAAGATGACATATCTGTCACAGCATTAAAATCTTGCTCTGGCGAGCATACTACCCGCCTCGCTTTAAAAAATCGCCTTATCCACAGCCTTGGCGTTCTTAGTCCAAGAGGTATCAATATCCAACATACCTTCATCTAAATAGTTCTAATCTTATCACATTTTAAATGTTAATTATTTTATTTTATTTCATAATATTACCATATTCTATTTCTTATCAATATCATTTATGTATCATTAACACTTGCATTTCTTTTATTGCCAGTATTGTGACTATATTTTTTACCCATCGTTTATTTTATTTTATTTCATTTATTCCGCTTCACATTTTTTAAACGTCGCTCACGTCACCCCTTAGAGATCTACATACTCTCCATTCCTCGTTTGTGTATTCTACTTGTGTTTGAAAAAGGCTGCCTGGCCGAAACGTTACGTTGTGTTGTTTTGTGCACGTTTTCCACTTTCCCATTTTGTTGAGCTTTTTAGTCAAATTTCTCTGGAATTCAGGAGATAATCATGACCTATACCAACCTCCATTATAAGGTGGTTAATACGAGCAGCAATGAAGTCTATGACGAGAAAGATAATTCATTTATGCTATATGGGTTTTATCTTGATGTGAGTGATGTGTAAGTGTTTGGTTAGTCAAAGGTTGTCTGGAATTGGCAGAGATGTGGTTTGTAGACGAATGGATGGAGAGAGTGGGGGTGGGGGAGGGGGGGGATGTTTTTACGGAGACTGATTCGCGAAGAGAGCCTAGTGTCCACATTAAAAGCAGACACTCTTCATTCTTTGGTCGTGCCATGAGAGGAAGAAAACTGGGGTATATAGTGGCTGTGGGAGAGCTGGAGAGGAAAAGAGGCAGAGAGAGAGAGATCGGGAGAGATGATGATGGGCAGTTTGACATCATGGCATGGAGGATCAGTTGTGTAGGAGTTGACTGAAAGAACACGAAACGGAAGGCTGTGCATAGACATGACTACCGACGCCACAAAGCATGGTATTTCAGAAGAAGAAAATGATGTCTGTGGTTTAGACGTTGCAAACGCACTGTGTAATACCGAGAAGCTGGGTTCAATTGCAGCTTTGGTAACAGACAACCTTGCCCTGGTTTTACCAGTGGCATCCGACCTTTAGCTAAACAATGGCAAACTCCTAAACTAAAATTTCATTGTGAAATCACAAACAGCCACAAATTGCTGTGGCATGTTCCCCAACAAGAAACCACAATGAAGGTTTTTTTTTTCAAAGGCAAGATTCTATTACAATAACCTGTGTTGCTTCCGTTCGCATTAAGAGAAACTACTATAGTGCCATAATTGAAATAAGGAAGTCACAAACAGTATCTTAAGCTCATTTTAAGCCATTTTCGTTTATTTTAGTACCCAGTTTGGAAATTTATGCTACTCAGTTCTGACATGGTATTTTGGATTTCCAAATCTGAGGAAAAACTTTAAACCCACCTGCCCCTGGTAAGCATTTTATAAAACGCGATATATTAGGCAGCTCTCCTTAGAGAAAGCAACAACCTGCACACAATTATGCCAGATCTGTGAAACGGATGTGCACGTAAAACTCGAGTTCTAGAATAAGACCAAAGTCCAGAAGTGAAGGACAACCAGAAGTTTGCCCTGCAGTTTACAGTTGGTAAACGCTAAGAAGGACCTCTTACCGTACAGCTTGATCTAATTTCTAAATGTACAAATATATATTTCAACGAAATCCTCGCTAAATACATCATCATCATCATGTAGCAGGTCCTTTGCAGAACGTCGCTCTCCTTACGGTCTACCTGAAAGACACTCGGTGTCTCACCAGCTTTTCCGTCTCATATTCTTTCATACTCAAGGAGTCACTTATATCCTGTGCTCATCTTCGTGTTCGTCGGCCCGTGCCCCTCCTTCTTGGTACCATGTCTTCTGCTCAATCCATCGTGCCGCTTGATATGACCAAAATATTTCAGCTTATAAGACAGGATGCTTTTTATTAACCAATCTTCCTTGATGTTCAGATCTTCCGCTAAATGCAGTGGATTAAAAAGTTATACGCTACCTCACCTCCTTCAAAACAGATGTGGTTTTACAGAAGATTCCTTGTGATTCATTGGGCAGTTAAAAAGAGTTACACAGATGAGACGTGGGCTCCAAGACAACTTATCACAAATATCAGAGACAGTCTTCAATTTTTGTCATGCATTGAGAAAACGAAAACTGAAATGCTGAAAACATATAGAAAAGAGTCTCAAGCAAATTGGACAAACAGGCAGGTTTTCCAAGTTGTAGATGGAGAGAAGATCAAATTATAGTAATTGTACAGTTGACCAAAGATGCATCAAGTGTAAGGAACACACCCTTGCAGTTTTGATGGCTCTGAAACAGGCCTTCAACAAAATGGAGGGAATGAGATTAAAGAATAGTGAGTGAAATTGGAATAGCGCATCAGATGAGATGCTTTGATAAGTATTTATAAGTAAAGTAAAGATCCATTTTAACGCCTTTAGGCGCATCGGGCATATGGGAAGAGCACCCATATTTTTACAGACTAATTGGCACTCGGTGGGTAAAGTGGTAGCATTACGCCGGCCGTCTTTACTTCCCAAGCACAGCCATCCTGGTACCCATTTGAGGCATGGTCAACCTGCGACGTCCCATACCACGATAAAATCCACGCAGCCCGCAGTGGGTTTCGATAGCGGTACGTTAGATTACGAGTCGGACTCGCAACCCCTTAGCCACAGATGCTGCAGATGCTTTGATACTTGAAAAAATCTTGAATTTAAAAAAAAATTATCTGAAATCAAAATAATGGTCAAGTTGCAAGTTTCAACAAGTAGATAAGGGACAATGAAACATAGTCTCCCTATGTAGAGTTCTGTCTCCGGTTCTCCCCTTATCTCCACAAAGGATATAAAATCCAGGTGCCGGCGACACAGAAAGTTCTGGAAAGAGTTTACCGACACTGTGGACAAAGCTAGGATGTAGACCAACGCAATTTCTTGTCCAAACACCCCACCCTCCCTCCTCTTTTGTTCCCCCTGTATTCGCTTTCCCAAGACTGGGCAGATATCTTAAGGTAAATTCAACATAGGTTCCATCCACGTACGGCTGTATCTTTCAGTCCTGCCAACTGAACCACGGTACATTTTCGGGGAGTCCCCCTCGAAAATAGGTTACTGGCATCGTTTCCATGTTGCATTGTGTGACATCTTAATAATATGTTTACAAAGTCCTGTGTTCTAAACGTATTCGTATTCATTCATTCATTCAGTAGCATGTCCCTCGCGGAACCTCGCTGCCATAACAACCCTCCGGAAAACCTTCCTATCCTGAGCAAGATGTCCTGCGTCTGAACTAGTACTGACCCCTGTATCACACTCTTCCCCAATGTTATCTGATCTGCCTGGCCTGGGGGTCTCGCCACCAGATCTCTTCTGTGTTATGTTTTCTTTCATGATTGTTATGGATTCTTGGCAAAATTTGCAGAAGGTAGTTTGCCGGTATTCGTATTACAAATCTACAAAGCGGATATTGTAAAGTGGATATACAGCAATTTTAATTTTCATTTTAATTCACGGAAGACATTCGTGTTGTGATGTGTGTGTTACTGTTTCTAGTCAGTAGTTCGGATTTCTGGAAACTGGCTGTTTATTACTTTTCTACTTTAAATGTAGAAATCTTACTTTTAGGGATAATACAAACAGGTAATTTAGAAACCATATCTGGAGAATATCGACAGTTGTCAGGTGCAAACTATCTTGTGTTTGAAGAAAACGATTGCTTTCATATTAACTATGCATAAATGGTGCAACCACACTGTGGATAAATTGTGTCAAGATATTTCAGAGCTCTAGGTAAGTGGATTTTGGTCACTTGAAACGTCATGGAAGTCTAGAGAGAACAATAATGGAGGGGTATATGCCTGGGAAGAGAGGAAGAGGAAGGCCAAGGAGAAGATGGGTGCAGGATGTGGCAGATGATCTCCAGATGGGTGTATCAGACGCAGGACATCTTGCTCAGGATAGGAAGGTTTTCCGGAGGGTTGTTATGGCAGCGAGGTTCCGCGAGGGACATGCTATTGAATGAATGATTGAGGTAAGTGGATGAAAATAATATTTAATTTACTAACTAACCTCTCACAGCAAGTCACTCTTTGCCTCTTTACTAATTGTTGACTAACATTATAATTATATGTTGTAGCAGTACACTAATAATATTAATCCTTAACCATTTGACTTATGCTTGCGAACATTGGCTGTAAACTCTAGCGGAAACTTCTGGTAGTTCATCAACTTTTTTTGCATATTTGCAGTTCTAAGGTCTGTTAATTTTTGTAAACTGGCTTTTGCTTTGCTTCGCGAACACTGGCTGTAAACTCTTGCAGA